GTTCAATTCCCACCACGCATCTGGGCCCGAAAGACCACACCCCCACCACGCAGTGCATTGTGGAGCATGACTCAAGGCCTAGATACACACAACCCTTAGGCAGGCGGGACGTAAGGGGAGGTCAGCGGTCAAGGCTTCGGCCACAGCTTAGAGATGCAGTCGGCTCGGATAACTCCGAGCGTGGGGCGGCAGCTGCTGCGGCTGGGGGCCCGAAGGTCAGTAAGTGGCTGGGGGCAGTGGGTCTGGGAATCAGGGCAGGACTGAACCCAGATTCCTTACAGCTCGCGACCTACTGTGCTTCTGGGGCAGCACCGGCCTACCTCTGCCCAGAGACTTTATGCCAGCGAGGTAAGTGACAGATGAGGAAGAGGGGCACAGAAATGGGAATTGTCGGCTCCCACTAACTGCGACCAATAGGGGTCTCTGTCTTACCCCAGTCACCTGGTGATAGCTCTGGCACAGAAAGTAGGGGAAAGGGCAAGCCAGGGTGCCCTAGTGAGAAAGTAGGGGAAAAGACACTGCTCACACCATTCCCAGAGCCAGCGCTTCCGGTGTTCTGCTCGGCACACCTTAAGACCCATCTCCAGCTTATTTTAACGGCTCTTCCCCTCTCCCCAGGCTGTTCAGGACAAGCCAGATACCCTCTCCTCCGATGCTTCCACCAAAGAAAAAACAGCCAAGGCGGTAAGTGACCCGGAAATTGGATTGACCCGTATAAGCCAGGAGTAGACTCATTCCAATCAGCCCTGAAACTTTTCTTCCCTGCCCAGGAATCTAAGTCCTTTGCTGTGGGAATGTTCAAAGGCCAGCTCACCACCGATCAGGTGTTCCCATACCCATCTGGTAAGCAAAGGGGTAATTAATCAGTGGCAGTGTGGGCAGGGCAGCCTCCCTACCTGACTGGCCTGTTCTTTCCCATCCTGAAGTGCTCAATGAAGAACAGACACAATTTCTCAAAGAGCTGGTGGGACCAGTGGGCAGGTTCTTTGAGGTAAGCAATACCTGGGCACAGCCCCTTGGGGTAGCCAAATGCTAAGCTTAAAGGAGCCTCTGAATATGGGGTCCTATTCCTTGCCCAGGAAGTGAATGATCCTGCCAAAAACGACTCCTTGGAGCAGGTGGAGGAGAAGACTTTGCAGGGCCTCAAGGAACTGGGGGCATTTGGTCTGCAAGTACCCAGTGAGCTGGGTGGTTTGGGCCTCTGCAATACCCAGGTGAGGGATCCTCCCTTGTTAACTTACTAATACACCACATTACTCCAGCTTTGGCAGATTCAGCTTCCTCACCAAGCAAGTAGCTAGGGGTACTGTCTGCCTGTTCAATTTCTCAGCTGTGTATACATCTTTCCCTGAAAACATTATCTCTGTGCAGGCCACTAGGACCAAGGACCTAACCCTGGAAGCCAAGTCTACAGGGACTGTGTTGTGACAATGGGGTAGTGGGTAATATTCCCATCAAGACCAGTAACAGCTGGGCATGGCAATATATGCCTTTAATGGCAACATGTTGGGGGCAGAAACAAGTAGACCTCTGAGTCTGAGGCCAGCCTGGTCTACATTATCATGGTCCAGGCTAGCTGGGGTTATATAGTGAGACTATCTCAGAAAACAAAGGTCTAGGACCTTTATGTCCCTGTTCCTATTTTCTCAATTAAGGGCCTCATGCAGGCTAGACAAGCTGTCTAGCACTGAGCTACATCACCAGTCCTGCCCGTGCCTCTTATGATCCCATTTTACATGCCTACAGTAGAGATGACCCAGGACAGCCTCTACCCTGTTGCCTGTACTCTCCTGTTGAGGGCCAGTTCAGTGCAGCCCGTTACAATCCCAGATGCCTTCTTCCCCTCCAGTATGCTCGCTTGGCAGAGATCGTGGGCATGCATGACCTTGGTGTTAGCGTTACCCTGGGAGCTCATCAGAGCATCGGTTTCAAAGGCATCTTGCTCTATGGCACAAAGGCCCAGAAAGAAAAATACCTCCCCAAAGTGGCATCTGGTAAGGCAACCTTAAAAGACCTAGGGGTAAGGAGTGTGGTGTCACTCATGGAGTTACAAGGAACTGTATGGGAGGGACACAACTTTGATGGGCATCATGATTCCAGGTAAATAAGTTCTCTTCCTGACAGGGCAGGCGGTGGCGGCTTTCTGCCTAACAGAGCCCTCGAGTGGGTCAGATGCAGCCTCCATCAGAACCTCAGCTGTACCCAGCCCCTGTGGAAAATATTATACTCTCAATGGAACGAAGATTTGGATCAGGCAATCTTCCATTTCTCTTCTTCCCTTCAGCCCATCTCCTGACCTCACTGCTCTGAGCCACACTATTTACTGCCTCATTCTTCCACAGTAATGGAGGCATCGCAGATATTTTCACTGTCTTTGCCAAGACACCAATTAAAGATGCAGCCACAGGGGCCGTGAAAGACAAGATCACAGCTTTTGTGGTGGAAAGGGGCTTCGGAGGTGTTACCCAGTGAGTGAGCGTGGTGAAGATAAGGTGGATTCAAGGACGGGGACAGCACTGGGCTCTCAAAAGCAAATGGTTATTACAGGTCATGCTGGGGCATGTACAAGAGCCAGAGGAAGTGGGCAGTTTGTTTCCTTGGGGGAACAAAGGTAATAGTACATTGCCAGACTTCCATAGCCCTAGGGCACATGTGCAGTGCCTGTACCCTCTCTAAAGGAGTTCCTCCCTGATTGTAAGGACTAGACAGGCCATTTTCCGCCACAGCAACCTATTCACTATTCACACCTCAACTTTCCTGCGCTGCCTTTTCAGTGGGCTCCCTGAAAAGAAGATGGGTATCAAAGCATCTAACACAGCAGAAGTGTACTTTGATGGAGTAAAGGTACCATCAGAGAATGTTCTAGGAGAGGTGGGAAGCGGCTTCAAGGTTGCCGTGAATATCCTCAACAATGGAAGATTTGGGATGGCTGCAACCCTAGCAGGCACCATGAAAGCCATCATTGCAAAGGCGGTGAGTCCTGCCTCAGTCCCTAGCTAGCCTGAAGGAATCACTCTTTGTATGTGCCCCTGGCTATCTAGCAACACACACACACACACTTCCAGATCTACTAAGTAAGGAATTACTCTTTGCATGTGCCCCTGGCTACATTGTAGGCACTGCCTCCATCAGAGCAACACACACACACACTCTCTCTCTCTCTCTCTCTCTCTCTCTCTCTCTCTCTCTCTCTCTCTCCCAGATCTCATAAGTTGGGTCTATAGTCCTCATCTCAGTGGAGACTGCAGAATCACAAGTGGGATACATGTGCCTTTCAGGTTGACCATGCTACTAACCGCACCCAGTTTGGGGACAAAATTTACAACTTTGGGATGATCCAGGAAAAGTTGGCTCGGATGGCAATTCTGCAGTATGTGACTGAGGTAAGGGTTTCCTGTGCCCCTCCCCCTGGAGCCCTATGACTTTCTTCACAGTTGGGTCAGACTACAACCCCCAGCAGCACCTGGGGCAGTG